ATTAAAGCTCTGAAGTAAAGAAATTTCAACAAACATAAGTAACCCAATCTGTGTGTTTCCCTAGCCCAAACTCCCTCCATTTTTATGGTTTTTTCAAAGTCTAGATCAAGTTTCATTTGAGTTTGCAGGGTGAAGGTTGTTATTTCTGCCTTCCCCCCCACAAGACACAATTTTTTTCTCTTTTCTTTTTAATACAAAATTGAAATCATCATGAATATTCAAAAAATCTTTGTTGCACTTTCCCAATCTATTCTATACTGAAGAAATATGTAAATACACAACATTACAAAATGTCTAGCAAAAGACAAAGCCTGTTGGAAAAATATTCCTTCTTTTAGTTAAATTCTGCCTAAAGATTCCCAAAGTACGCAATATAAAATATATATCATATAGTTAATAGGGTGTACTCATATAAGTTAATATTATATTATTGTGATTAACTATAGTGATCATATAACCATTTTTCCAATTGAGAAGGGCAACAACTTTTTTTTTCCTATTCCTACCTTGAAAGAAAATGATAAGACCCCCTGTTTTGAGTGCAAAATGATTCCATGAAACTCACATGTATCTCCTAACATTTGTTAAACTTTGAGTGACTGGTTCTTCCCCAAAGTCAAATCCTGGTAAGATTTTTCCATCATTCATTAAGTGAGATTTTGACATCCAAGGTTTTGAACTGACTATGGTGGAAGGTGAAAAGATCTACCAAGTTCCTAAGGGGAACTTTTCTCTGTTGGAAGCATCAAACCCCCACTGCACCTGCTGAAGTCTCTATGAAAGTAGCTTCTGAAGGATGAGTTTGAAAGAGGGGCAGAAGCAGTCACTAAGCTTCCATCCCACTGAGGAAATGACACACCAGCAGAGCAGGAAGGAAAGGTGGCACAGAAGCACAATGCAAGGGAGGAGCCCCCAAATAACATGGGTTACAAAAAAGGAACTTTTCATATGCTCAACACAAGTGAACCTACACTTGCCATCAGGCAAGGCAGACTCAAAGCAGTCATTAAGGTGACTAAACCAAGCATTCAGAGAGTACTAAGTAACAGAAGAATGACAATACAACCTTCAGCTTGGCCCACTTAATAAGCCTTAAATACAGTCTATAATTAACTCCACGTTCATGATCCTCCTTTGGAAATCTCATTTAATTCAATGCAAACATAGATTCTGCTTGGGGAATGATTCAGAATTTGTAGTGAATGAGACTCTTGTTTCTAAGACCTGGCCAGTCTCAAAGAACTACTACAATATAAATATTTAATAATAACAAAAGCATGCAACTCGTTGCCAAGCACAGATGTTAGAAGTGACTGCAAATCTTGGCGTTTGGTGGCACCCAGTAATCCACTGGCTGAGTCACCAAAGTGATTGATAGCCTTAAGTTGTTCAGGAACTATTGCCCCCCCCAAGAATGAAAATCTGTGAGTTGTATCAAAGTTTTTGTATAAGCATTTTTCTCTGCACAACCAGCAAATGTTATCCTTACAGGTTTTAAAAAGGTTCCTGCTGCTTGGGAAAACTCTTTAGCAGGGAGAAACAGATGCAACTGGCCTGTTTCTATACTTAGTGCATATTTTGTTTTGATATTCTAATTCTGGTAAAGATGTTATGGTTATTACAAACATAACTAAAAGATAAATTCCTCTTGCAACAGATCTTTTTCACTAACCTGGTCCTAAGGAGACTTAGGTCTTGTTTTGACTAAGGGAACAACTCATTCATAAACTGCATTGTGTATGGAAGTCCTCAGCTTTCCATTCACCCTATGTGTCATTAACAATCTCCACCTGGATACCATCCTGCCCTTTAAAAGCTGTTAGACTTTCTAAAGAAGAGCTTTCCCAGGCTCAGGCATCTTCCACCTCAATATTCTTCTTTCCAACACGACTGGTCAGAAGCTGTTATTTCCATGAAGCCTCCATACAGCATCTTTAAAAGTGGCCACCCCTCACAGGTGAGATTCCTGTCCATGCCAGCCTCCCTAATTACAGCCAGGCATTTCTCAGCTCCCACAGAAAACACTACTCAAGTGCTTCTGACAGAATTCCTTCCAAAGTTAACAAATCTGGTTTCATTAGCATTTCCATGAATTCAAGGAGAACAAAACCATTACACTCCTGTAACCAGAGCAGACTGTTCTATATCTGAATAAAGGCCCTGGACAACTGCAGGGTAGAGGACATTAAAGTAGCAATGCACAAAAAAAGCAAAGATGCAAAGGCAAATGGACGCATTACTACTTAGTTATGTCAAATGTTTTCCTTTGTATGACATCCAAAATGCAAGTCAGAGCACTTAAGGTGTAATGCAGATCTACCTTTGTAGAAAATGTTAGTCTTGTGGGCCATTAGTTTCAATGACATCAACTGACACAGCCAGCAACAGGTTTTGAGCAAATGAAAGATTAAGAAAAAGAATGCAAAGAAAACTAATTGTTGCCCTAAGTGCTTCAAGTCACACAAGATTCTCACATGCTGTCAATTAAGTGAACCCTATAAAGTTATGATTTATGGCAAGATTCCACCAGAGTGATTATATCACAACAACAGACACAATTCAATTATTTCTGCCAGTAAAGTCATCAGTGCAGAACATATTACCCCTTTCAACTCTAAGCATTTTTTTTTAACCAGAAAGTGCTTCTGTGATGGTACCATCTTGACTCAGTCACAGCAAGTATTTTTAACCACCAAGTCCCATTGAATTCAGACTGTACTTAGAAATTTGGTACCACAACATTTCTGACCAACAAAGGTGAACTGGTAGAATGGTAGCTAAGTCCTCTACACTATCAGCCATTTTTCTTCCCAAATTTATTTCCTACATTTTCTGGTATTTTCAGCCATTTTCTGTCTTCCATGTTATTAAAAAGAAAAAAAAGAAAAAAATCCAGAATAATTCAGGCCAGAAGTGAAGTTTGCAGGTCATCAGCTCTATTCTCAAAGCAGGATCAACTTTAATTTTAGAGAAGAAACAAATAAACCACCACAACAAGAAAAGGGAAAAAAAAAAAACAACAAAAAGAAACACCTAACATGGCTGCAGTTAAAAAAGAAGTTATTTCACCTACATACAGTACTTGCTTTCTTTTTCCTTAAGCTAACTTCTAGTATTTATTTTAATCATGCTGATTTTGTTACAACTCTTCCTAGAAGTTAACTCTAGGACTTTGAAAAATAAACATGGATATTTAGAATATATATTTTTAAATAGTCAACAAAATCTTTTTTTAATCAAACCAATGGAGAGTTTATAATGGGTAGGTTTTAAGAAAATAAATCAGTGCTCTGGAAGCCCTCTAGCAGGTAAAAACCTCACTTGGCCTCATGCTGAAGAATAAGAAAAAGCAGACTGTGCCTTGAAGTGCTATAATCAAACAGGTAAGTCAGCAAAGAAAGGGAAAAAGAATGGAACAGAGGCCTGAGGGGATGGAAGACTCAAGGGATTTGCCAAAAGCACAATGAAAGGGACAGAGCAGGCAGAAGGAGAAGGAAGAGGAAGACTGAAGCAGTGGTTTGGATGCAGCACAGACCGGGATGACAACTGTGTGTGGACAGTCAGTGGGCGTGTTCAATAAACTGGACATTACAAAATACACCGAAATAGCCTGGAAAAAAACAATCAGTCTAGTTAAAAACCTAAAAAACATTTTCCCTCTCCAACACCCAGACATTCACTCAAAGGTTACTTTACCCATTTCACAATTTTGGATTTGTCTTTTTGCTTTGACTTCTACATGTATAAATTGAAGGTAATGTATCAAGTGAATCTCATCTATGGGTACACACACTATTGTTCCTGAATCACTAGGATGTCCCAACACAGAAAATTTAACAAAGAAAATGGGTAAATATGCCACCAGCATGGGTTCCAGAAAGCATGCAACAAAAACTGTGTAGAACACTACATTGAATGAGAGTAGAAAGAAACCTTGAGCTATTCATGCACTCAACGCTATCCTTCCTGACCACTGAACAAGATACAGAACCTTTGGAGGAAAATTAATAAACAAATAATCAATATTCCTTCTTTCTCATATGCATTCTGAAATCTTTTTGCCATATGTTAATACAACTGAGTTTATGTACCCATTTGCATCTGCAAAAGAAGTTCCTACCTAGAGACTTTCTCATCTCCTGCAAGCAGCAATTCCCAACACACTTAGGAGCTTTTATTCCATTATGGAAGCTCACAGGCTGCTCATGATCACTAAACTGAATTGTTTCACCCTATAGGTACAATGATATTTTCAAAACATTAAGAATGGGGTTCATATTGACATGACATGCTGTGCAGGGGATGCATTCTCAAGTCATTCAAAGCCACGAGATTGGTTCTGGACCCTTTTAAGTAGAAGGCTTTTAGCAGTGTTTTTGCTCCCAATACCAAAAAATTCCGTCAGGTTGCTGACCCCAGAAACAGGGTGGCTACTGACCCCTAGTGTTCGGCAACCCAGGTTCAATTCGACTGATTTAAGGCAAAAAGCACGAGAAGCATCTTCATCCTTCAGGCACTGCAGCGTCCTTCTGACATAGCAAGAGGTCCCTGCCTTGTGCTGAAGTTCCTTCCGCTCTATTTCATCAACAAAAATAGTAATATCCATTTTGAAAGGAACAAGTAGGAAGGAAATATAAACTCTTAAGCATCCCAGCAAATTGTAGATTCACATTTCTTCTGCTTTCACATCTGTAATTCATTTTTCATTTGGAAGGTTAAGAGAAGGATATCTAAAGCAGACTGACAGTCGTGGCTTCAAGTGGGTATTTATAGACTCTTGATCAGTTATTAAGGAATTAATGACAGTGAACCACAATCCAAGCTGGCCTGCAAAGCCTAGTGCAAGGAAAGGAGCTGTAATTGCCAGGTTGCTGCAGGACTTGGCTGTCCCAGGAAGAAGTGTAGAGTCTAGTGAGCCAGCTGCCTAGGTGACATAAAAGTTGCTTACAACAGAAAGCTGCAACTACAGAAATGAAGAAGAATCCTACTGTTCTACTTACAATTTTGAGTCCAGGTTCAGGAGAAAGCCCAGTTTGTCATATTCTGGAAAACAAAAGCAAAGGACACAATATCATAAAAGCTGCAAGAGTCTCCTCTGCAAAAGGCACCAAAACCAAACAGCAGCAAGTCCTTATAGCAGCTGTTAACAGATTATTGTTACTCCAAAGTATTCCTAAATTAACATTTCTCAGTCTCCAGGAAATACCACAGCAAGAGAACACATGGGTAACCATTAATTCAGAAATCACCAGAATTAAGCAAGCTATCCAGAGTGATAAAAAGTATTACTAAAACCACTTAGGCAGTGATAAACAAAGCTTTCCTGCTTGCTGTACAAATAATCTTGACACTAAACTGTATGAAAAACATTCCTCCTAAGTTCTGATGTGTAGAGCTTTGAAATTTTTCTTCATTCCTTGTCTATTCCAACCCACAACTTCATAATCAAGCAGCTCTTTTTCAAGAGAAAGGTTTTCACCACTCACAGTGGCAAAAATGCTTAAAATTCAGGTGTTGTCCAGTATAAAACTGCAAAGTCAGTTTATGCCATGAACAGGGGACAGCTACAGAAACAAAATCACTCAGAACATCTGCAACTCATGTACAAAATACAGCATCCCTGAATATATTGTGATCTTGTAAATCAAACACTGGATACAAAAATCAAAACTATTAGAATTCACATGAGATACACAAGGAAAAGGTGCAGTGTTCTTCTTCTGGGTTAAGCTCAGGGCCTTCCTCACACTGAGGACCCCCAGGTCTCACAGCTATACAATAAAAAAAAATACAGAGAAGTAAAAGATAACTCAATCAGAGATTAAAAGAAACAACAAGAAAAAAAAATCTCATAAGCTCATAAGCTTTTAGAAAGACCTCACTGGAAATACAAGATTACTTTTCTCACGAGACAACCCTAGGATTTCTGGTGCAGTAGTTTACCTCTGAAGATCACAAGCTTTTCACTCTCACTTACCAGCAGAACAGCCAAGCCTAAACATGTACCTCAGACACAATGATTGCACCAGACTGGCCAATGTAAACTGTGCCATTGGTTTCAATCCCATTAAGGTTTAATTCCTGAGCCAAGGGAAGTATTCTATTTGACATCACTTAGGTAACAGAAGCTGCAGAACACGCGCACGCTTGATATTGGCACATAGTGTCTGTTCCCTGCCAGCACCCGAGTGCCACCCACCATCCCCACTCCACCTGTGCATCTCTCCTCCTCTCTTCACATACTGACAAGTTCTGTTTCCCCCATGTGCTGCTTTCCTCATAATTTCTTCCCAGTTTATTCCTCCCACAAGAAATTATGTCCTGTACAACCTCACCTCCTCCGCCAATAGGATTGTGCATAGGAAGGTATCCACTCCAGAAAAAGAAAAATGCCTTCAATTTTTATTAACCCTTTAGACTCCCAAAACTAACATCTGTACTAAGGAAACAACCACAAAGATTTTTTTTAATAACTCTTTTTTTAAAACCATCTATAGCCACTGACCCATCTGTCATCAGTCTTATCTCATTCAAACCAACACTACCTTCTTCCCAACAGGAAATACAAAAAGAGGAAATGCAATAAGAGATACATCACCTCATAAGTACAACAACATCCTAGACTTTCTATTAACTCAGCACTTCATCAGCTTTGCAACCAAAGCACCAGAACACAGTCATGAGCTAAACACTAAGGACAGACCTTCACTGCAGTGTTTCACAAGATTCATCTTCTGTTTGTCACAACTGTTTCACCTTCCCTAGGCTTTAAGTTTTCATGTTCACTGAAATTACTTTGCACTATCTTGCAACAAGCACCTCCAAAAACAAGTATTACAGAACAAAACAACATTTCTGGTTTCAAGCCAGATGCAGGGGTATGTTCTTGATTTTCAGTAGGGTCTAAGTACAGTTTCAGGCTATAACATCAAACCAAAAGCATCCACGCCCCTTCCTCTTGTTGGCAGGTGAGATGTGCAAGCTACTGCAGGCAGAGAAATGCTGCCCTCACCATGGGCCATCTCACTCTCATGGGCACTTTTGGAAGTCAGCATTACTATTAGCTTAGAAATCAATCTCTATCACATGCTGTTTCCCCAGGAAAGACACTAGGACCCTCCAAAATTACAGATTCAAAGTAATTTTCCTTTTTAGTAAAATTGGAGTCCTGCTACAGACTTCCAGTGTCATTTACCTGTATCACTGCAAATACAGGGGCCAAAAGTCTGCCCACATGCTGGCTGGAAGTAGCCTGGATTCACAAAAGACAGATAAAGTCCCAAATATCTGAAGAAAGCCAAACACACAGAGCCTAGCTGCAGGAAAAGTCAATCCTTGTCTGGAGTTATGTGTCTAAATTAAAACAAGATGAAACACAGATCCACACAATCAAAGTACAAATGACTCTAAAATACAGTTTGGTCAGGGTGTGGCAATTACAGGAGAGGAACTGAACTGATCACATAGTTCACAGCTCAAGAAAGGGGCAATCCCATTCCTACCTTTTCCTCCATTGAAAATAGAGGTGGCAATAGCCTGCCTTGGCACTCATGCCACCCCTCTGTGCCCTTACAGGTTGCTTCCTCCTCCCATAACCTTAGTTTAAAGCCTTACTCACCAAGTTAACCACTTGATATACAGAAATATTTCTCCTCTTTTTCATGTAGTGGAATAAAGAAGTGCTGGAATATTAGAGAAAATAGAACAAAATAGTCAGAGAGAATAAGGTAAAAAGTCTTCTCCACCAAAAATCAGCTTGGACCAGCTGGCCATGTTAAGTGTGGTTTGATGTTGGCCTCCACCAACATCATCAAGATGATCTTCCCCCAGCACCCCAATCCTTAGGGGTCTCTGCCCTGAAGGACAATGCAGAGCCACTCACAAGTACAGTCTGGAGAACTCCCTTCACATTTAAGCATGCTGGTAGGTCTGATCCAGCCCAGGCCATGTCTGACCCACCAATTTCCAGACCAGACACTTCTATGGCTCTGTGGCACAGGATCTGCTTTTAAGGCAAAAGATGAGTAAAGGTAATAAAGAACTTAGTTTGCATCCCCTGGAAGAACATCATGGAGTAATCTGAACAAAACTTCATATTATCAGCCCAGAGAAGACTGAAAGGCCCATGAAGGATAAAAGTAACATTATTAGAAGAGCACAAGTCATTCTAAAGATCACAATCACCTGTGCTAAGGACCCACAGATCTCAGTTGACAAGGTGGTACAGCAGTGCACAGAAGCACAGAAGTGAACAGGGGAAATGAAGTTTCATCATGAACCATCTTGCATTATAAGAACAAGAGGTCATCTTAGGTCAAAACCAAAATGCATTTCTACATTTCCAGGAAGATCAGAACTGAATTAGAATCTAAGAACTGACAACTATTTCATAATAAAGCATGTAATTGGGATTACATGAACAGAAATAGAGCCAAGCATAGCAATTTCTACAAATTATGCAAATCCTGTGCCAAATTCAATGTTGGCATTAGCATGGAAATTCCTCCAAAGAATCCAATAGAAATCCAGCTACCAGGCTGCAAGTGAGAGATGCATTGTTTCATGTCTGAAAACTCCATGCAGACCACCCAGGAAGCCATAAAGTCCAGTGTACAGTATCTAGCCAGTATTCAAGTTGCCTCTTGTATCTGCAGCCAATACAGCTATAAAGAAGCAGAAATAGAAAATTAAACCTTTTTTTAAAGACAGGCTATATGCAGTTCTAGCTCTGTGTTTAACTGATAATTGCAAGTACAGCACGGAAGGCAGAAGATTCAATTTTGCTATTTTATTCAAAACGTTTGGGTTTGTCAAAGAAATCAGTATGATTCTCAAGAGACAGAAGTCCTATCAAGGATGCTCAGACCACCCTGATATATTTCATCCTGTCCAGTGCAGTTTGGTCTCTGCAGAATTGAGGATCTATATGAGCCAAGCCCTGGTCACTATTCACATGCAAGATCTACATCTGCAGCAAAGGCCACAAGTAAAATAACTTATTCTGCAATGAAAAAGGCCAAACACATCACATTCACCTTGGACTAAGAAAACACATATGGACAGTTATAAAAGTTCACCAATGTAAAATAACTCTGCTATAACTCGAGAGACAAGAAAGAATTAATGAAAAAAAGTCATGTTAAATGGATCAACTGAAAAGGACAAAAGAAAGCTTTTATTGCAAGGTTAAAAAAATAGCAGTCAGGACTACTGAGTAACAATCAAAGTACTGGATAAACAAAGACTTAATGTTACATCCTTTCCTTAGGATTTTCACTTTAACCTCTTCAGAGATGGAATTTACTGGTGAAAACATTATCTTCTATTTAAATAACCAGGGAATAAAAAAGACTGCAAAGGCAAGTTCAGGAGGGGTACAGCTGAGGCCACCTGAGCTTCTCAGCACAGCCCTGCATGGACTGCATGCAGGTCTATGCTTCAGTTTCCTTCTCACCTGCACTCAAGCTTTTGCATATGCATTTACCAACCTTTTTCTGCAGGTTGCCAAGTGACATCAAGAAAAACACCAAGAAAACTGGTAAGACAAAGCCCAGTCCATGGTGCCTTTCTCTGCTCTGTAACAATCCACAGAAGGAGCAGAAGTGCTCAGCCCGTGCAGCCCAGCACCAGAAGCTCACCTCATCAGTCTACATCTGCACATCCTAATAAAACTATAGCTACCTCCAATGGTAGAAAAGCAACTGACTGCTATAAGCTGAATTTAGGAAAGACTCTGATAGGAAGATGAAAAATTTCCTCCTATGATCTGCATATGCCCTTTCACTTTTGCCAGGAAGTCATCTGTTTCAAGCCACACTACAGCCTTTGCTGAACAGTTGTTCCATTTGCTGCTATGAGTCCACTTGGCAAATGGAGTTAATGCTGCCCTACTGAGTCTCCCAACATACTCTTTATTCTATAAAGCTTATTGTATTTCCTAATAAAAGTCAAGAACAATAGTAACAAACCAGTAATCTATACTGGCTTTTAGTGACTTACAAGATGTGCTGATTTGATGCAGAGATGTCACATGAGAGAGAAAAATCACATTGAAATATTTTTAATTTGAGGCATTCATTAAGCCACTTCTTGACATTTGCACCTCAAATCATTCACAGCTGTATTTTCAACTGGAGGAATAGAGCATTAATAAGAAGACAGATGATGATACTGGACACACTGGCAAAGTCACATAAAGACTATGAAACTGCTTCATGACAGTCACTGGCAAAGATTCAAGCAGCTCCCACAGTCAACACTCAGAAAAATAAAGAATGAAGTAGAACTTCATTAATCAAGAATGAAAAGGAAAAAGCATTTCTGCAGAAAAAAGCCACTAAAACCAACAGAGAAAATACATGTATTTCCCTTTTTTCTTTCTGCCTTACAGGAATGAAGAAATATACAGCATAGTAAGTTCATCTCTTCTTTCACATCATTATCACATAGTGCTAAGACAGAAATGCAATTTGGGTGGAAAACCCCAACACTCTAGAACCACATCAGCTCCAAACATTAAAGTTGCTTCCCTCAAACTAAGAATGCCTAAAGTTAATTACCACTGACCTGAAAATCCAGGAAATACCAGAGTGTGCAACTGTAGACATTTGTACTATCAGAATATAATTGAGAAATCAAATAAACAGCAAAGAATCTTCTGCAAGTCACCAATGTTTTTCTCTTATGCTAGGAATCTATCACTACCCTATAGATTTGATACCTCATTCAGACACATTTCTATTCCTGGCCTCCATCCAAAACATAGGCAAGCAGTCACCAAATTCACTCTGGAGTTGTATTTGGTAGGACAGACACAGGGTTATCCTCATCCTTCACAAAATGGTTATCTGAGCATCTTCAGCAGCTGTATGGAACAGAGAAAGTTTCCTTCATAGTTCTCACAGCTTTTCCCAAAATGTTTTATGGACTTTGACTTAAGGAATCACTAAGAGCAAACTCCAAAAGAAGCACAGATTTAAATTCTCAGATGATTACTCCACTATCAGGGTGAACTCAGCATTTGGAAGCATGGTCTTACATGTGGGCTGTCACAAGCACATGAGCTGCAGCAGATAGCTACTCTAAACCAAAGTCTGGGAATCCAGAAGAGTTAATACAAGTATTGAGTTAATACAAGAGTTAAAACAATTTGAGCAAGACCTAGATAACACTTGCTCTCTTGTAATGTTGGAACTAGCACGTTTTAAGCCTGCAAGTGAGAACATCTGCAATGAATCAGTGGTCAGTACTGCAATCAAACACGAGCATAACCTACAGCCCAAAGGTATTCAGTATTTTCAGCAAGCACAGTAGCATCTGGGAAACTTGCACATCCAGTGCACTCCTATCCAAGGCTTAGAGAAGAAAAATTTAGCTTGCTGTCAGACACAGGAGGTAGGAAAAAGTCTTGAACAAAAATAGCAGGGGTATAAATCTAACTTTCAAGGTCCAAAGTTTGATTTGGTAGCAACAAAGTAAAACAAAGTAACTAGAGAGGAAAGAAAAAAATAAAAGAAGCACTAGTTGACTATGGCAAGTGAATGAAACTAGGTCTCCTCAAACATCTTGTGTCCTGATTGTTTCCCCAACTTCAGAGCATGACACCCTTCTTTCTGAAATGGTTTCAGCTGAAACACTGGCCTAGACATAATATCAAACACTTATCTCAGCTGCTCAAGCTTTATCTTTTAAGGGAACAGACAGCCATGAAGAGAATTACAAAAACATCTGGACTTGTGAAGGCTGGACCACAGCATGAACCTCATGGTTCAGCCTCACTCAAAACACATTTGGCTCACATGCCCTCTACCCAATAATCTCCTATGAAGCTCTATAGCTTTAAAGCTCCATAGCCAGATGAGCTTCTGAACACTCAGTTCAGAAAGTTTATCCAGAAAAACCTAGACAGTGTCATTAATCTGAGTTGCATAAGGACAGATTTCCAGCATTTCTAAAAACTGAGACTTGCATGTGGGATAAAGTTAAGAAGGACAGTCAATTCAAGTATGATACAGAAGCTGCAACAAGACATTGCCCTTCACATGGCATGATTAACAGGTACTAAAATGCACTTCTAAGCTGTTTAATATGCAAATATAAGTACCAGTTTTAAGCAGCATGAAATCTTAACAGGGAGACTATTATTCTCAGCTGGTTTTGACTAATTAAAAAAAAGGTATATGTAATTTTATGTTTCAAAGCATGTAACTTTAGCTGAAACATCACCTACTGGGAATGGCTGGGCCTGGAGCTGCCATGGTTTCTGTGGGTTCTTTCTGGGCTCTGTCTTTTCCTGGGTCTGCAGCAAGGTGAGATGGGATGGACAGCGGAATCACAATAGCCACAGTTTTTCTCTCTCTCCTTCCTGTTCAACAAGGAAAGCTATCCCTCAGTTGGACAGATACCACACATCTTGACATCTTATTTAACATACCAGTTCAGAGCAAGGTGAACCTTGCAGCACAGTAAGTGCAAAGTACTAAACACAAGACCAATAAACATACAGCTTTCTTGGGCATTTCTGAGCCTCCTTTCTCAAATATATGAGTTTTCTTCACATCTCTTCAATGAAGGAAGTCAGTCTTGTTGCAGTGAAAGGGTTTACAAAAGATGTCTCAATTCCTAACCAATCCAAGCTTGAGTTGTAAAATGCAAGCAGAACAAAGACCAGTTCTTTTAAAACAGGCCCAGGCAGTGCATGGCTCACATGAGCCTGTCTCCCACCCTCCATATTAACAGAACTCCAAAAGACACAGAGCAGTTGAACTGTTTTTCATCACTAAGTTTACTTTCCATTTGGTGGAAACATTTATCGTTAACTCCACAGATACAAAATCTGTGGTTAAAATTCAAGCAAGGGTATCTCAAACCTATGCAACTTCCTCCCTACTTCTGCAGACTGAAGAGACCACCACCCAATACAGGACACAGGCAACAACACATTTCAGCTATGACATATTAATTAGTAAGAGAGAATTAATAGGGGGTTTCTTTCCCCCATATACACAACAACATATCCATTTGGCACCCTAGAGATACTCCCACATCAGATCATGCACTAAGATTAGATCTATTTCCAGATAGAAGTTTTAGAGGACATACAGGGAGAGTAGAAAAAGTTTGAGGTGTTTTAAACAAAGTAAGTTACTACCACTAGTTGAGGGGTTAGTAAATCAGATGTGTGTTCAAGCTTCAATGTTAGTGTCAGGCAGCAGGCTCTCTTTCAAAGAGTGCAGGCAGAAGACAGGTGCTATGTTGGAAGGCAGCATGTTCCCCCTATCAACCTAAGAGGAAAGGCTGGCAAGCAAGATAAAAAAAATCCAAGTGAAGGTTTTGTCTTTTGTGGAAGACAATAAATATCCCCATCTTTTAAGTGTTAAGGGGTTTAAAGTTATAGGAGCAATTCTTAGTCTTTCCCTTGCACTTCATATATCATTATATACACACCATAAACTGAATTTCATCAAGTATTATGCTCACTATGGTGTGTCATGGCTGCAGCTTGCACATTACACACAGCCAAATGGAGAGTTACTGATCCAGTGAAGTGCTCCCAGCACAAAAGAATTTTTAATTTCTGGTTCAGTTTCATTGTAGGTCACACTTAGGTTCCAAACAAAATGAGATTGGGAAGGATTTGCCCTGGGGTTCAATAATGCTGGTCAATCTCCACCCAAAAAAAAGTTTCCAGCTCTATTGGTTTAGTTATGACTCTTTCGTCTTCTCCTTCCTGGAAGCATTCCTCATGTTTTTCCCCAAATAACTCAACTGTTTGTTTAGCTGGGAAACTATCCTAGTAGCATGAAACAGTTTTTCTTCAGCTGGTAGGTGACATCATCTTAATGCCTTTCACATGAGAAGAGGAGCACAAACTGCATTATCAACACATGTCCAGGTCATTTCCTCGCTGGGTAAGGGAAGAGTCCCGCAGGTTAATCCTTGTGTCGTACTAAGGCTCTTAAAACTCCCACTGCACTTAGGAAAGGACCTATTTACTCTTTGGCTAGGTGGTTGATTACCACAGAAGTCTCACTCAGTGTCCTGCCTCCCAACATGGCTACCATGTCCAATTAAGTAGAAGCCTTGTCATGAGGTGGGAGATAGAGAAGAAGGCAATGTTGTACCTGAGCCTATTGTATGTCCAACGGAGTCAAAGGAAAGAACCACTGAATCTGTAACACAAGAGTACAAGTTCATTTTCCCCTTTTTTTCAGCAGCATTTCTTGCTGTAACATTTTTTTGTTATTTTGCTTAAGTAATTCCTTGTGCTCCCTTCTGGCAGGAAGCAGAACAACTTCTTCACCAACCAGAAAAAAGACCAGGCACCTAGCAAAGGCAGAACAACGCAGTATGCAGTAAATCACAGTGCTGTTAACCAATGAAGTAGCCACAATTCATTGAAAATAATTTAATTTTATGTCTAATAAGCTTGGTCAACTGAATCAAACATGCTTCAACTACTGGCCTAGAGAGTTTTTTCTTATCAAATGTATTCCCAATATTTTGTCTAATATATTAGAGGACTCGCCTGTTATGATCAGTTCTTCCCTGACATTTGGTTTGCTAAGCCAAGCACTTTGTGCTCCTTGTACTCCATGCTCACCACATTCCCCACATCTTTACTCACAGGAGTGACTTCCAACTCAATGCATTTCAATTCATCAATATCTTTTCACCTTTGCACTATATGCAACACATGCGCCAAGCATCAAGAAAATATAACCTCTCTACTTGATACCCTTTTATTTTTGTATCTGGGAATCACAACAAAGCTTTTATCCATGACTGCAGTGGCAATTCTTGCTCACCAGTTAATGCCTGACACTTTTAATCACTGTTTCATATGATGGGGCACCCTTTGCTTCAACTGTGGTTTAAAGACCATAGTTTTTATATATGCAACTTGAAATTTGGCCACATAGAACCCCTTAGTGCCTGCTTGCACTCAGCTCACCCCATGATCCAGACCCCTTTATAAGTCATTCATTTTCCTCACATAGGACCCTTCCAACCTAGAATTTGTTTGCAAAAGCATCGGTAATTATTTGATAATCTGTTCCAAGTGGAGATGCATTATGTTATGCTCAATAATGGGACTTTCCCCCAGCATTATGCTTATTTGAGACAAACCAAGATTTATTTTGGTAGTAACCCTCCTGGTTTCCCATCTATTTTCATGGAAGTCCTGAGTGAAGGAGAAAGATGACCAAATTCTATTCCCCTACCAGTGGAGCAAAATAGGGCCCAGAACTTAGAGACAATTTGCCAATGGGCAAAACACAAAAAAGAACAAACCAGCACTATAGGATTAATAATTTTATGGCCTGAGAAGCTTTAAACTGACACAAAAATAGCTGAACTGCCTCTCATCTTCACCTAAACAAATGGACTGAATCCTCTGACATTTCTCTTTGTCACTCAGGTTTCAGATGCGATCAACTCATCACACATCCTTTGCAGCACCACAAAGGCTGCCAAGATGCAAGCCCTCAGTGAAAGGCAAAAAGATCAAGCACAAGAAGACTTAGTCTGCTGAAGAGCTTAACCTCCTGCTGCATCGCTTGAAATTTAGGCAGGCTATAGACAGAGGCAGTTACCATGTTAGAGCTGAAAATAACTTGACAGGACTGAGCCCTTGGTTTCTCTATATTTTACATTATCCTGGTGTTTATGTTCCAACTCTTAAAAATGCAATAAGAAACTGCTAATTTTCAAAATAAACACTGTTGTTTTAATAAAGGACTGTTAATTTGACTGGGCTTAAAAGAATTTAGAAAAAGAAGGTCTGTGCTGTCTCGGATCCAGCACTATGGTAGTAATATGAAAAAAATTAAAAAGAAGATATTACTAGTCTCAAAACTTACTCCAACAAAAATAAAAATCCATCTGGACTTAACAACTGTATTTCCTCTTTTGGGAATAAAATTCAGACATTATTATATTATTCTAAATAGCAAGGAGTTTAATTCATTTTAACTACATTAACTTCATTTGTCATCAATTTTAAAGTATCTCTGTGGGGTTCTACTTTTAAAAAACTGTTGAGATTTTTATCAACATAAATTACTGCTTTGTAGTTAATGTCAAATTTAAAAGTTGTTAATTTTCCTGAAATATATTTTGCATTCAAACACTGCACATGAAAATATTAGGATTTATCTAAAAATGCCTGAAAAGCACTGCAAGCACCAAATTAATAACATTATTGCAACCCACAAAATAGTATCATGTTTCATTCCCCTAACTGAGAACATTATCTTCCTCATATAAAAAAAAACAATTTACAAGCAGATTAAGAGCTTCCTTTTCCCTTTCCTGATCCAGTCCTTCATGCTACTATTAGTTTCAACTAATCAAATTCACTGTGAATAACCTGAATTATAGTCAACTTTTCCTCGACCTCCAGGAGTAATTTTACTAAATATGGATCTTTATTAAAACGCTGTGTTTATTTCTGGTATTAGCATTCCAAAAGTGAATAAACTATAAACCTGAAGAAGGCTGAGAAAATAATAATACGTCACCTTTCTTCTACCCCAAAAAGCTACTCACATCCAAACTCAGAGCTACAGGTTATTTCTGTCAGAAGTTGATGGAGATAAACGTTTCTTTGAAGCAAGCCAGATTTACTTGCAAATACACTGAGTTCTGCTTCACAGAACCCAAGAAGAAAAGTTTCTTTGCTTCCATTTTCAAATCTCTTCCAGTCATCACTCAGTTCAAAATCTCCCTGACTTTCTAGGGGGTCTTTTTTGCTGAGACAAAGTGGCAGCTCTGTCTGTGCCCAGTGCCTTTCCCCAAGCCCCAGTGTGCTCTACCTTCCAAAGGCGATCTTCAAAGGCTTTATCTTTCAAAACTCATTAAGATACAATGTAAAACATACCCACTTACATGCACTCTTGCCTTAGGTGCCAGGAAATGTTTGTGCCTGAAGGAGCAGTCCCCAACCTTTCAGATACCTATTTCCATAAATAAGCTTAAATTTTTGTCCTCCTGCCTTAACTGAAGGGCCGCCTTTATGCCTAAATCATGAAATCTGACACACAGTAACTTGCCAATATGTACAGCTTAAGGCTGCACATGCCACAGTGCCAGTCTTTTACATCTGTTTTCATGTTAACTACAATCTTTTTTTCAGTGGCTCTAGCAGCTTAAAAAAGAAAAGGAAAAAAACTCCAAAACAACACGATATAGCAAAATCCAAACGCAATTCTGGATCTTATCCAATCCATCAGAAGAAGCAAAGACAGCACAAGTACTCACTCAATTTAGAAGGCACTCAGTGCCAGGAATAATGATGGCTGAGACCTCACCAGCCAGATTGCAAAGTTGCTTTGGGTCACTTTGTGTCAACTTAATCCAAAATTGCATTGGGACTTATGCTCTGGGTCACTTTCCCCTCACTCTCACCATCCAGTTAGGGCATCACAAATTGGACCAATGTACAAATGTGCTCCATCATCCCCCACAAAACAGTGCTGTGCAGGGTTACCTGAATGCACTCACCACAGCCCCTTTGGAGTGTGGAGGAGTGCTGTATGAGACCCTGCTCCACTGCTGTGAAACCAACACAAGAGTCCCATTTCATTCAGCAAAAAAGGAGCTCGAAGACAGACTCTGCCAAGACCCTCAATGCTGCTCTGGGAACAAATTTAAACTCATTTCCAACAATGCTCCATACAGGACCCGGAGCTGAATGTACCTTCAAAGGAACACAACTGGACTTGCACAGATCTATTCCATAGTAAAATAAAAAACAAAACCAAAACCCAAACCTCAAAAAAACCCACCTGCAAGCTAATCTGTGATGGCTACATTTATTGCCACACTTACACCACACTCCAGCTGAGACATCCAGGTATGTGGACTGATTGTATTTCAAGGCAAGGGACGCACGTCCAAGTGTTGCTAACCCCTTACCTTTCTCAGGGCCTGGATAACTGTGCACCACACTCCCCTGTCCCCAAGACAGACAAATTAAATCATCCATCTTGCTGCATATATTGTGCACCTTAGCTCAGGGCATTTCTGGACACCAGCCTAGTATTTAACTGCTACTCATAACACATTGCTGTATCTTTTCCAGTACTCTGGTTTCTGAACAGAAAAATAAACGAAGATTTGGATCTTCACAAAGGAGTGATGATCCTCACCAACAAACTGCAGATTTGTAGGAGACAAACAAAGTCATGCTGAAAAACATCTGAAGTTTCATACTCTATGCACATCACTGGACAATCATTTACCATGGGTACTGCACTGAAGAGATGTATGGAAAGAGCTCTTAAAAGCCCAATTGTGTCAAGTTCTTAAAATAATTTGCAGAACAATGGATTCATTTCCAACACAAATACTATCCTTACTTTGATTTCATAATTGAAGAAGATGCAATATACAAACTAAAACACAAGCAGTGACAACACATAATGAGAACTGCAAATATAATCCACATTCAAACAAGAACTGTACATAAACTGTATGTTTACCTAAGTGCTGTTTCAATATTTCAGTTAAGATTTTTATAGTAAGTCCCTCTGAGAAGCCACTAACCTTTTATTGCTTTCTACAGATTCTTCCTGCAAGGATTTGTAGATATTTGTCTCAACCTATTGGAAACCAAAGAAGCTGAACCAATAACTTCTCTTTTTTTTTTTTTTTTTGGGGGGGGGAGGGGAGGATTGTTTCGGGTTTTTTTAAAGAAAAAAAATGAAATGCAAAACCAGACTTCAGCAATAAAATAACTTCCCCATGAAAAACAAGATGATTGTGTGCTGCTTTGGAAGTGGTCCTGAGAAACCACAAACTGTCAGTCCCACTGGAGTTATAAGAGTTTAATAATAAAGGCTTAACACAGCCTCAGTACCACATACCATTACAGCAATACACACCACAGGCCAAGCCAAACAGGGAATACAAGAACACATCACAACATAAGGCTATGATTTGGCACATCCTTACTCAGATGTTCAAGCTCTGAGGTCTGCATTGCTTTCTTACATGCATAATCAATGTCTCTCATTCCATACATCCCTGTTCTCCAGATACGCCGATGGAGAACTACAACCTGTACTTAATAATGTAATTTATACCTCCAGAGCTTGATCAGAGACCAGATATCCTGCAGAGCTGCATCAGCTGGCCTGGGGATGGCAACTGCAGTATTACCCAACAA